AATTAATGTGAAAATAAAACCCGACTTTTTTAGTGCTTGCGTTATAATTTAAGTACAGAGGTGTAGAAGTAGAGTAATTCATTTAAAGAAAAGCATTTCATTGATGACTTGGATTGTGTATGTTCCTGTGCTATTTATATAGCTAGTTGAAAAAAAAAGAATGAAATCAAGGGTAGGTAGATCGACTGGAGTTATTGGTTTATATTGGCTTTATACCGTGAGCGGAATAAAGTTACAGGTAAAAAAAAAAAAAAATTGGTTTTGCTAGGAAAAATAGTCATTGATAAAAAGTCAAAAAGAAAAAATTTATCGGGAAAAAAGTAACAGAAAATAAACCGGGAGTGATCTCCCCTAAACTTTCTCGAATATTCTTATATAAAACAACAGGGGATGGTAACTCGGGCTATAGACATGATTTTTAATCCATTTTAAATACTTAAAGTTTAAAAATAGAACAAAAATCTCGTAGACAAAAGAATTGCACACCAAGTGAACGCCAAATAAAAAAAGTGCATAATAGTGCGCAATATTATTAGTACTTTAAAATTTTACATTAGTTCTTTGAGAAATCGGAAGTAGCGTAAATTACTACTTCCGGTCAATGGAAATTACTCAAAAATTTAACAGAAGGTAGAGAATTAGATCTTTTACTTACGTGTGAAATTTCATTTATCTATCTGAAATAGTACTCAAGTTATAGGCTTTTGACAAATTTAAAGTAGAAAAAGTACCACTTCCGGTTATCGGAAATCGCTCAAAAGTTGATACGGATCAACGATTTTGATAAAATACTTAAATATGAAATTTCATCAACCTAGCTGTAACGGTACTCAAGTTATCGTGTTTACACACGGACAGACAGACAGACAGACAGATAGACACACACACAGACATACGGACAGAATTGCAAAGCCCAGTTTTTCAGACTGGATTACGCATAAAACCTCTCAATTTTGATAAATCTGGATTGATAATTTTTGCCCTATTAAAATAAGTCCTCTATACTTCGGATGTGACGAAGGACTGAGGTGTAATACGGTGAAAATTATTAAAATTTCAAGTGATTTTTGTGCACGATTACAATACTTTATCTATACTTCGTATATACGAGAAAGTAAAAAGGCTAAAAAATCTTCTAAGAAATATTTTGATTTAACAATAATTGTTGAGAGTTGTAAAATTTTGGGTGTTAATTAATGTGGGTAGTGTTTTAGCGCAATTTCCATTCTGGAGAATTGCGTTTATTAACCCGTCATTTCTGGATGTATGAATGTATGGATGTATGAATGGATGGATGTGTGTTCGCAGCTTTAAGTCGTATCTCCTCCTCAACGAAGCAATATCGAGGACTAGTTCCAAAAGCAATTATGTTAAGCAAGTTACGAGGATGATAGTGGGCCAAAAAAATTCCGGAATTCCTTCCTGGATTTCACGGAAAAGCCAAAAAGCTCGAAAAAAAAACAGTTTTTGGCTCTTATCTCGGCAACCAGACCACTTAGCGACTTGAAACATTTACCAATCGATTCCTGCCATAATTTAAAACAATATTGCCGAAGAAAGTTTTCAAAAATATTCTTTCGTTCGGTCACAAAAAAATTGTTAAACTTACATTATACATAATATACTACAGTACTATATAGCAATGTGGACCCAATTAGTAGGCATGTTTATCCAACCACACCACACGCGTCATCACGTTCAATAGCTGCACCATCAAGTTCAATGGCTGCGCCATCACGTTCAGTAGGCGCGCAATGGTTTTTAGTCATATAACTCTATTGTTTTTAAAAAAATGTGAAAAAATGATTAGGCCTAGCGAAACAAAACCTTGTAATTGTAACTCCCTATCACTCTCATATAAATTATAAATAAATTAATAGGGTACAAAAATAAGGAAATTGCGCTTAAATTGTCACTAGACTTTTTAATTAACTTGTTTTTTCTGGTAGCATATTTATGAACTTTAAAAGCATTATGGTAAAAATACTATTACTATATGTATACAACCTACCCACATATTTATATTTTCTTTACATTACAGTTAATTAATCGTAAGTTGATTTGTATTTTCCTAATATTTAAATACACACAAGTATTTAAAAAATACCATGGAAATACACATTTGTGACTTTTTTCCAGTAACATTTTTCTTGTGACTTTTGTGTTTTTCCCCTATGACTTTTTTTCCCTACAAATAGTTTATCCTGGGATTGCCAGGATGACACCAATGTTCTTAAAGTGTTCCCTATGTGCGGAAGAGCGTGGTCGGGAAGAAGACCATACCGCAGGACTACTAGCCCGAAAGTCTTGGGTTCAGATCTCGGGCTCGACTCAGTAGTTCAGCTGTCTATTAGGGCAGGTTTATAAGTGAGTTCGTATTGGAATGATAATATTCACTTGAGTTAATTAACGGTGTGGTTCAAGAGATGGCTTGTTTAAAAGTGGTATGCATTTAATTCTATTTTTCTACTTAAAATCAATTGCTTTAAAAAAAATTTAAACACCCTTGTCCCTTTAAAATACGTACTCGAAAAATGAAAATTATTTTGGTTATCCTAGATACCATCATAGTTAACACTATCTATTTCTCAGCGAACCCATTCCCACCCGGCTAGACAACATTAAAAAAAAAAAAAAAAACTACAACAGCAAAAACTACTTTACAAAAAAATAATCCCCATGTCTGTTTAACATTTCGTGAAAAGACCGCGTTTATTGTTATATTTTTTTATAAAGACAGACCTGCATCTTTTGTGATTTATACGCGGAATGACGGAAGTGTCTGCGGAATATCTGAAGCGTTATTTTTGCGGTGTCCTTCACCTTCACGTACGGCTGCACAATGATCCTGCCGCGCATGTTTCCGTGTACGTGTATCAAATAGCAAATCTTCTCACGGCTTATAAAACAATCAAGTCTACAATTTTATGAATGGATAAATGGAAGCTTTTAAACATTCAGTGAATGTTCATTTAGCCAAGGTGACACATACAATCTTCTTATATATATATATATATATATATATATATATATATATATATATATATATATATATATATATATATATATATATATATATATATATATATATATATATATATTCCATATATGGAGCACCTTAAAACGATTCGTGACAAAGCGGCCCCATCAAAACGACTCAGACAAAGCGCCCCCCCCCCCCCCCCCCCGCTTAAAAGAACTAATCAAAATAGTCAAAGGCTCCCGACAAATAGGCTCTCGTCATTGAACTCTCGACATAGTGGCTCCCATTCTAGGACTAACAACGAATGGCTCCGGATAAATGGTCTCCCGACATATATGCTCCTCACAAAATGACTTATTGACTCCAGACTTAAGAATTGTATGACCACTTTTGGCATAGACGTAACCATTAATATCTAATTTTTTAAAAATGTTTTAACCGTGAAGATTTGTTGCTTAAAAGCGAGCATAAGTTAAAATCTATATTATACATGATGTTTCTAGGATAAACGACATTTTATTTTTGAAAACCTACAAGCATACTGCAGGTAAGAATGTACAGCGTGGACCTCTCTCCCCACATACACAGTTGGAACAGCCTATAACCCATTCATTTAATGGAAGTCGTAGCTAAATGACCCTGAAATTTTAAAAAGGGCTATTTCTTACACAAGATAAAAATAAAAAATAAAAACCCTGCCGAAACAAAGATGCAGACGTTGTATTATTTAAGGGTGTTAGCAAAGCTAACTCTGAAGTGAATTGATGAAGGTGTCCCACTGGACTGTCATATTCATTGAGGACGTTTCGCCGCGAGATTTAGTCTATACGGAAACCGGATTGACAGGGGCTCTTTTTTGACGGGAGCCTATTTGTTGGGAGTCCTATTGACGGGAGCCCTTTTATTGTGAGCCTATTTGTCGGGAGCCTATATGATGGGGTGCATTTGTAGTTTACCCTTTCGACTAG